TCATCTGGCGCAGCACCGAGCTCCTCTGCAGGAGGTGCAGCTCTGTATCCACTCACTCTCAACCCGCCCCAAAGTCCGGCCCATGGGAGACTTTGGGAGCTTTAAATGAGTTTTTGCTTCTTCTCGCAGCCAACCGCTCATGCAATCAACCAAAGGGAGATGATTCCACCCGAGCGCAAGGCCTGAGGTTTTCCTTCAAGTGAAAATTGGCCCAACGGTGGGAGCGGGGCGTTTGGGACTGGTTCCCACCGGTCACCGCGCGGCAGCGCCGCCCGCGTCCCTCTGCGGGTCTAAGTGTTTGAAAACAGCGTTCTCTGGGCCGCCTCGAGCGGGGAAAAAAGCTGGCGGATTTTAAGAGCGGTGTCCTAACAGGGGCAGCCCGGTGCTTGCAGCCGTGTGTAGCAGCCGGAAGGCTTTTCTCCCCCCAGCTACTCAATGAAAAGGTCCCAGTCGATTCCCTTTTTCACCAGGCATTAACAATACCTATAAATATACCTATCGATGCATATTCCGGCTTTGAGCGAGCGGCAGCATCCCAAGATTAACAGGAAGACCGGGCTGGACCTGGCTGACGTTCCTAGCTCACGTTTAAATCTCAGCCTCAGCCCCGTTGGGAACGCGCCACTTGACCTCCACCGCCCGCGCTCGCCGAGGTGTCAGAACCGGGCCCCGGGGAGCTCAAGGCCAGCTCTGGGCTCCCCGTTGCACCCGGGCCCCCCTGCAGGCACAGGCACCCAGCCCGTCCCCCACCGTCATGGCTCCATCGCCCGAGACCGCGCAGCGCTCCGAGACGCAGCCTTTCCCGGTTTCCCTTGGGAACGCCCGGGTTTTGCTCTAACGCCTGCTGCGTGGGAGCCCCCGTCCCCTGCCCTCGCTCCTCATCTTCCTCCAACACTTTGGGGGTATCTCCAAACAGCCCTGAGCTCCTTCTGCACACATTTGTGCTGTGGAAGCAGCAAATTGACGGAGATTCCCGTGCCAACACAGTATAGATGCCAGTTTTGGCGTATTTGGCTTCATCGCTGCGCTCCCCCCTAAGTTTATCTCCTATTTCTGGATGAAAGCTCACGTCAAGCCATCGAGGTCGGGCAAGGCGGGCCGAATTTGTGCGTGCGCGCACCCGCACGCTCCCGCGCTTCCCAGGGGTCAACGTGGGCACCGTGCCAGGGAAGAGCAAACCCGCACCGCTTTCGGTGAAGAATTCCTACCTTTACCTCTCGGTAGTTTGAATAATACATTGAAATAAACGAAGTAAATAATTAACACGCCGACGTGACTTAAGCCTCCGCGTTTCGCCGCCGGTCACGATTTCGGTGCTAAGGGCCTCGAGTCACCCGCGCGCTCCTGGAAAACCGGTAAGCCGAGCGTTCCTCTTTGCCAGGGGGTAGGAACCTGAAAGCCAGCGCTAGCGTCTCCCCACGGGAGGGAGCTGGGGCGGGCGGGGCCTGCCGGTGGGCCGGGCTGGGGAAGGGCGGGCGGGCGTTATTTCCCAAACCCCGGGAACCGCTCCCCCACGGCGTGGGAGGCCAGGAATCGCTGCCTGGATGTGACAGGATGAGCAAGAACGTTCTTCATCCCTGCGGCGCGGCATCAAGCGTGCCGCCCTGCTCTAATTTATCGACGGGCTGTTAAAGAGTCCTGTTAACCCGTTTGTCGTATCCTAATTGAATTTGGTCTCATTTAAGCCAGGGAAACCGGAGGAGTTCATCCTCCTTCAATCAATAAGCTCCCCTTCAGTGACCCGTTTCAAGACCGCCTCATAAAAAAATCATGCGCTTTGTTTTAATAAATCTAATCGCTATGGCAGCTGCTCAATGCTTATCGGTCGGTTCTGCAGGCTCCTCTGCTCGGCAGCGGAGCCCCACTCGCAATCAATAGCAATTGATTCATCAGCATCCCCCTCCAACAAAGGCGCTAATCAGGTTTTGATTAGTTAATCAAACCCGCGGTGACGGCTACGCGGGCCCTCCCTGACCGCTCCCTGTTTGACGAGGGGCGTAGCGACGCTCTCCAGCGGAAGGACCGCCGGGGAGCGGGAGGCCGGCGTGCCGAGCCGGGGCAAGCGGGTCCTTGGGGTCAGAGCCCGCGCCAGCCTCCCCGCACGTCCCCCCTACGCCTCCAGCAGCTGCCCTAGCGATCCCCCGCGCCGCAGGGATCCCTCCGGCAGGGCCGCGCCAGAGCGAGCGACCCCGTGCCGCGGGGGGGCCAGCCCTTCCCCTGCCCCCGGGCTTTTCTACGCTAGGAACGAGAGGTTTGCGAGTGGTACGGACACAGACAGCTCGACCGGGGGAAGCGAGCGCAGCTCTGGGGACTAGCTACCTGGGCGGAAGGCAAGGGACGCGTTACTTATTTGCACGGTGGGCAGAGCCTCCGCCGAAGCGTTCAGCGG